GGCATTTTCAATTCGACAACGGGTTAAAAACCAGAAAACCTTCAATCGATGGGCGCCTGAAACAAGAATTTTCCTATATCGTTGGCGTGCGAAAACTGCATGGAATAAGGTCAACGGTAAATGCAGGTAAAAGGTTCGAATCAGTATTTGTGAAATTGGTAATAATAGAGGCGTATAAAAGGTTGGCAGCAGCTTACACTCTGGCAGTGCCCATTTCCAACACTCCATCGACGAATTTCGCATGCGAATTCTTAATAGAAGCGCCGTTTGAGCCTTTTCGGTTAATTAGCTTCACCTACTACTAGACGCTACTTATTGAGCCTCCTATCGAGTAATGCTTGCGCCAAACCGGATTAATCGATCCAATCAGGCAACGGCAAAAGTGCAATCTGATGATGGAAAACGACTAAACATGTTCCGATACTTATCCGAGGCAATTTCCCCATGAACACCTACCCTTAATCAATCAAAAGCTTTTACCCTCTGTTCGCTGTCACAGTGGCTGATGGACTTTTATCTGAAGAAGGCTGCCCAGTAATTTTTACGAGTTCCGCAACGACAGGTGCTGGATATTTCGCCTCTAATTACGTTGCGATAACGCCCTTTTTGCCCTTTGGGTTCGCACCTTCTCAGTTTGGTTCTTTCCGTTCTTAATTAGTGTTTTGGAAGTAGCCTTAGATTATTGTCTAGTCCTATTAATCATACTAGTAGGGTTTGCACAAATATTTGTGGCACTGGCAAGGGAAACTCTGGGATTCCCTGCAATTTCGAACGTTTTTTGTGTTCTTTTTCAAGATTCGGAATTTCGACTGTTCAGCTGGCATGTAATGTAGTTCCTTTGCTGGCTGCATTAATTGAGCCAATTACTTCAATACCCCTATAATGTGCGGTGGTTTTTTTGGGCTCAAATGCATCCAAACAATGCTGCGTCATTGATTACGGCCAATTATTTTTTATGACTAAACAGAATGTTTCTACACTAACCGTTAATGGGAGAACCAAAAATCGAGCTGAAACTAATGGCAAAGAGGCTTCGCCTGCTGCAGCAACATTGAGGGAAAAAGAGCCTCCTCCACTCAATCACACCATTGAAAATGTAAATCGATTTCTTTGAAAAGTCGCGCCGTTTTTCACACAGCGAATTAAAAACTAACAGCAAACCATGTGGAAATACTCATTAAAACGTTTGCGTTTTTCCAACTGGCCCGCTATTGAAGCAGGGCCTTTAATATGAAACTGGGAGGAAAATTAAGGATAAGTTGTATACTCGATGTCATTTGAACGATCACAGATTGGGTTTTTTTCGCGAAAAATTGAGGGAGTTTTCGAAATTTTTTGGAGGTTGGCATTGCACGTCCAGCGGCGCCCTAAGGGAAATCGTTAAGGATCCGTCAGACGGGGCTATTTTTCACGTCAGGTTTTCCATGATTAACGCGAAACAATAAAATTCCACTCTAGGAAAAAATTAGCTTTGATTTACGGCAAAACTTTTCCCCGAGAGCATCTGCTTTATTCTCATGGCCCGTTTCTCGTTTTTTTTTCTAATAAACTTTTATGAAGTGGAAAACGGCCATCATAATAAAAGCTCGGCCTCGGAAAATGTATCTAATTATACCTTTAATAAAACCTTTGGATTAGGGAGGTGTTGTCCCGGATAAACTTGAGGGCAGGTTTCGCGTTGCCAACTTCGCGACGTTATTAACCCTTTGATAGGGAACTCTTGCGTGCAGAAACTTCGGGTTAGTTTACGCTCTCGAACTCCAAAGATTCGGTTTTTTGCAAAGCAACAAGTAAAATTAACTGCAGTTTTAACTAGATTTTTTAATTTATTTTCAGGTTCTCGATCATTCAACCGCGCTAGGAACTGGGGTAAGTGACAACAGTAAATTAGCAGTGAACTGAGTGAAACTGTTGAGTTTTTCCTGTTGTTTCGGAAGCACCAGTGGCTCGCACCTTTCTAGTTTCCATCAGTTTCATTTATTCAAGAAAAGCCATCGCTCACTAGCTTGCTTAAGTTAAAACCCGTCAACAAGAACACACAAAACGAATACAAAAAAAGTCAAACACAGCTCTGTTTTCCTAGAACTCTTTCGGGGATTTTTTTTTCTGTTTTAATCAAAGAGCTACTGAGAGTGTCTAGAACGTGCGGTAGATGTTTAATATCCATATTAAAAATGCATGGGCCCTTTCCCCGTATCGTTAGTCTCATATCCAACTAGGACGGCCAACTAACGGAATTAGAATTTGTTTTAAACCTTCCCACGTGTACGGGGCCGGTCACAAAATCCAATTAACAACTACTCCAAAGAGTGGAGCCTCGTTGAAAGCCCATTGCGGCCTATATATATTGTAAGTTCTTAATCCCTGGTAGAAACGTTTTTGGGTAAACCCTGGAGTGTGAAAGAGTTGATGCTCGCTAGGGATTTTGGCGTTTTCGCATACCCGTTTTTTTCTGGCGGGGTGTTTTATGTTGCCATCAAGGCAACAACCTGAAAGCTATTTATTCTATTATCAATAGTTAGTAGTATAAATTCACCTACACATCCCTTAGCCAAATATCTTTTAAACATTTTAAATCCCCCAATAAATAACACAACTTCCTATATTAAAAATTCTGAACATTTTTTACAAAAATTGTCAGACATAGACATAAATCCAAACCATATTCTAGTAAATTTTGATGTTGTTAGTCTATTCACTAACGTTCCTGTTGATAAAACTTTAAATATCAT